ATATATATATATATATATACATACACACACAAATTACAGTAGATGCCTGTAAATTGTAAGGCCTACATGGACACATTAATTTACTGCCTTTGTTGTGGGCAGAGGTTTGCTTGCCTGTGAGAAATTCTGAAAATAATTGAACAGTATTACGTCTATATTGGAAAATTTGAAAGTGTTTGAATATCTTACCATCCTCAGTTCAAAATATCATTTATTATTATTTATAGATTTAGGGATGCTGAAGAAATCTGCTTGTTTAAAGGACAAGGCTGAAAGTCAATACTGAAGCTGTGATCTTCAGGCCAATAATTATTCTCACGAGTTAAAATGTTTGTAAATTATTTTAATCTGCATGAAGTTGTTGAGGGAGTCCTTGGTAATGTTTCTCGCCTGTAAGGGGTCCTCAGACCCTAAATGTTTGAGCAGCCCTGCTCCATACTAAAGTGAAGACCAGCCATCTGATTTGTTATCATTAGCACACAGTTCAAAAGCCTGCCTCTCTGCTGGTATGGGGGTGCATTAGTGCCTTTATCATGGGCAACTTGCACATCTGGAAAAGCATCATCAACAACAACACACACTACCAACCAGATGACATGTTTTTTTCAGGGAAGGCTGCATATTTCTGCAAGACACTGCTGCCAGTCCAGCAGCATTGGAAGTCCAGACCTGCAAACTGAAAACATCATGGAAACAAAAAAGAAACTGACAAGGAAAATAGTAGAACAGCATAAAACTCCAGTATGGTCTCTAAATATTTGCAGGCTGTTGTGAAAAGAGGAGGACTGCATCACAGTGGTGAACATAGCCCTGGCCCAACTTTTTCAAATGTTTTCTATGTTCCATTAATTCAACACGGCTTTATGATATTTGCAAATCATTGCTGTTATTTTTAAATTGTATTTATTTGCATAAAGTCTTGAAGCGAGGCTGCAGGTTCCGCATAAACACAGGCGGAGCTAAGGAAATCACGCTGACCTCTATTCTGTCACACCCTGTCTGTTGTGAGAACAGCTCCATTATGTAACCAGTGCATCACAGGATGACACCATGCTGTGATGTAAAACAACAACAAAAATAAAAAAAAGAGTAAATAATAATAATAAAAATCTTCCCACAAACACATCAATAGACTCGTTTAAAGGATTCTCATGTCCGGCCTCTCAGACACCCCCCATAGGATTGTAATTCCAGACTTTGGGGTCATGTGAGCATCAACTTGGGGTCAAACAAAAAATGCTTCCGACCGCCATTACGTTACATTACATTACAATGAGAGAGAGAGAGAGAGAGAGAGACGCCCATCTGGCTGTGTAATAACGCGCTCTGACAGATAAACAATGAGGAAGGAGTCGCTGCGGTTGAGGAAATCGTGCACATGTTGGAGGATTTAAATCAACAGCATTTGTCGAGGAGCAGGAAGCAGGGAGGGCTGACTCGTTTCAGGAGGACCGAGCTGCAGAATGCAACCTAACCTTTATGGCACAAACGGCACCAGACGAGGACTTTTGCTTAAAAAGCGACAGAAAGAGAGGAGGGGAGAGGAAGAAAAACACAAACCTGTCTGATATATAATTGTTTTTTTTTCTCCCTTTTCTGCAAAGACAAGAGGCTTTTGTGGCTGCGAAAGAGAGGACGTTTCGTAATGACAGAAAACTGAAAGGCAGGAAGGATTTTTTTTTCTTTTTTTCAAACCTCCGTCTGCAGCTTGTCGTTTTCCTGCTTGGTGGAGTGTTAGTTTTTTTTTTTTTTTTTCTTGGTTTGACTCATGATTTTGGAGAGGAGAGGGGGGGTTATTGCTGGGACTTTTTGTGTGTGTATCCAAACAGAAGGAGGTGGGGGAAGAAGAGAGGAGCAGCGGCAGGATCAGCGTGTTGTTTCTTTTCTTTTTGTCTTTTTTTCTCTCTCTCTCGGAGCGGATCGTCTGCGGCGCGTTTGATTCAGGAGCAACAGAGGGATCCGATCTTCCTGTTTGTGTGTGAGAGAGAGTGTGTGTGTGTGAGTGTGTGTGTGTGTGAGCCCAGACCGCCTCACATTGTGTGTGAGGCTGTGGCAGAAAAGAAAAGGCGGCTATAAATAGCGCGTGCGATTCTCGAAAAACTATCACAAGTGGCGCATCAGCGTCGTGGAGCGCGCGGAATCACACATCCCGCGCGCAACGTTTCCACCTTTATTTTGTCGCGCAGAGGATTACTTGTTTTCCCTCGTTGGATTTATTGTGATTTAAATCATAACAATAAGAATAAACTACGCGCCGGAGATCCTGTGTGGATCCACGGGTCCAGCTGGGATCAGATCTGGAGTCGCCTGACCTGGATTGGAACACTCGTGCTGGTGATCCGGATTTAAAACACCATCAACAAAAACCAGTTTGGATTGTTTATCGGATCACTTCTTCTTTATAAGCCCTCCTTCTATAAAGCCCGAGACTCCTGACCGATTTGTGCCCACCCACCTTTTTTTTTTTTTTAATTATTATTATTTTTAAATAAGATACCGACGTAGGATTACGACATGCCCTGCGCTGGCGACCCCAAAGGCGGACGATTATGACTGCAACGGCGAATTGGGTGGCTAACGGGGCAAGCCTTGAGGACTGCCACTCCAACATCTTCTCTCTGGTAGGCTATGAATAAAACATGCTCGGCAGCAAAAGATAGACCAAGTCATAAGACCCGTGGGAGGCAGCGCTTAAATGTGTGTGTCTGCTGGACAAAGGTGAACCAATTGCTGGTGTTGTTATTGGGCAATTATTAACAGGGTTAGTGGTCTGGGAGGGGAGCTGGGTGTGTGTGTGTGTTTGTGTCATATTTTCTACAACAATGAAGACATTTCAGTCAGACATTAAAAATACATTTCCCAAACAACCCCCCTCTTCAAATTAAAATGCTTGTGCAAAACTTACTGTAAACGACCAGTTTTATTTTGTGGCTTTTAAGGATTTTATTTGAGCCATCCTTTTTCTAGAGTAAAATGCTTCTACAACATGCAACGTTAATTATATTCAAAAAGGACAAACAATGGGTACAGGGGGTTTAAATTTGTTGTAGATTTATAATCCAGCTGTTTGCTTATGGAAGCCATACGAAGAAAAATAACAATGCTCAGATAGGCAGATAAATAAGATGACGACTAATTCTTGTTCCAATAATCACATTTTTTAAAACATCCAAGTTTAAAATCACAGTTGCAATTCTTAAAACATTGTTGAAAATTCTAATATTAAAATTAAAAAAATAATAATTTAGGAGATATTTGAGGTATTTGGCTATAGCGACATGTTTGGAGGAGTCACTACAAACAGGCACGGTGGTGGGAGCATCATGCTGTGGTACAGGAGCACCTGGATAGAAAAATAGAGGAGGAGTACCTCCAAATGACTCAGTTTCCACCTTAAATCAAGTTGTTTTAAATTAAGTAAAATATACCAATTTGGAAAAGAAGGGTGATCCAACATACATCCAGAATTATAGCATTAAAAAAATCCTGCTGTCTCAGTGCAATGTGCTAAAAAGAATTTAACTAAATATTAATTGGGGTGAATCAAGCCATACCCAGTTATTGTTTTAAAATCAATGAAGTTATACATTTTATAATTATTCCACCCTTGAAAAATAATGGTTTAAATTAATTGTTAAAATCCTAAAAAATCAATGGCATTCCTCCTCATGATGAGTATCTGTAAACTTTTAAGCACAGCTCTGTGTTTTAAGCAAATTATTAATAGAAACAACTCACACATTTCCTGTCAGCAAAATAATTTATATAAGTATTTGGAAACTCTGATACAAACTTAATAATAAATATAGAATAAAAAAGCTGCCTCTATGTGGTCACAAACTGAATCAAGAGCTTTTCTTTCTTTCTGAAAAAAAAAATAGCTTCATTGACACGAAAAGCAGATTATATGACAAAACGAACACTGTGAACAAAGCGCTTTTAGAAAATCTTAAAAGAAAACACTGGATGGACTCTGGATGCCGTGTGCCTTTTGCCGAACCGCCTGGTTGCGAGGTGGAAGGAGACAGGGAGCAGTGTGTGTTTTCACAGTTTTCTTGCTGCAATCGGCGAGTTAACTGTCTCACCACAACAGGCAGCCAAGTGGAAAGGCACGCGGTAAGACTGAGCTCATGCCGGAGCGGGCTGCTGAGAACCACAACAACACACGAGTCCTGAGGGCTTTTCAGGTGATCATGCAGGTTGTGAACCAGCAACATCCCCTAACAGAAACGACACCAGGGTTATGTCACAAGATGTAAACAGTGGCTTTTTAGGATTTTTCTAGATAGAAGATCGTAAAAAACGCTTGCATTAAAGAAGTGGGGAAATTCAAAGCGTCATCAATGATTCAAAAGCATCAATGATTTTCTCTGCACTGACTCTGAATCACACATGTCTAAAAAACAGGGATTTTGTCCATGTTTCCATTTCATCTGAGGCTATTCCCCTGTGGGGGGAGAAAAAAAAAAGAAGCTTCCATTCACTCACCGAGGCTTTATTGGCCATCATGAACATCCCTTTCAAACTGAGGGTGAAAGAGACCATCCATCAGCCGGCTTGTTGAGAATATTTATGACTGGCAAGTGCCACGGCGGTTACTAACTGGCACGGTTCCTGTAGAGAGAAGTCCAAGACGTTGCAGAGCAATAATGACACACACACACACTTACATACACACACAGGTATCCTAGTTAAACACGACAGAGACAAAGAGACAGACATTGTCATTTAAAATGCCTTTTGATGTGGAATGTGAGGCACAGATCAGAGCACAGTTGCAGCAGAGTTTATGGGTGTGTGAGCGTTTAACCGATTTTATCATTAAGTGTTTGAATTTAGAGAATAAAAGCAAAAGTGAGTTGTATTTTTTCAACTTTTTGTTTATTAGTCTTTTGTCAAGTCAATAAAATAACTCGAATTTTAATCTGTTCTAGTAATGGGGCAGTTTATAGTGCGTTGTGACAGTTCTGCAAATTTAGAACATAATCTTTGTTAAAGAAAGTTGGTTTCAGGCTCATTGTTAACCCATAATTTCATCTGGTTGCTTCTAAACAACAGAAAGCACATGGCTAATTTACATTACTACTTGTTCAAACTGTTCCTAACTCTGTCATCACTTCTTTATTGCTTAAACTTCCAATTTCATATCATCCCTGCACACCTTTTCCCCTCAGTGTTCTGAACAAAAACAATACTTTTCACTTATTTTACTTGTATCTAACAAAATCTAAAATAATAAAATTAAAAAATGGCACACTGACACCAGCAATTTAGCCGTTCATAAACTTTGCTAACCAAAGTTTTGACACATTATCTGTTCATCTTTTATAAAATGGTGACCAAATTGAGCAGAAAATATGCTATTGGGTTATAGAGCATATAGAGCTACAGGTTTGAAATAAGAAAACAGACTCCAGGATGGGAAATTTTCTAACCATTTCCTTTGGGTCAGAACGGTTGTGTTGTTGTAAATAAAGGTCTCGGGGCTAACTGTTGCACGCTCTGCTCTGACAGCCTGTTTAACAGCATTCCAGCATGCATTAACCTTGCTCATCTCTGATTTGCTGGCTGATATTGCGACCTGCATGAGTCCAAAAACAATAAAGAAATAAAAGCAGGTTATTAGAAAGCAAAAGGGTCCGTGCTGTGGGACTTTATGTGGGGAAATGGCAGATTACTGGTGTCAGATACTTGGGGCGGCTGCAATCAACACAACCCACAAAACAACTGTCTGGTGCGTCGGTGACCAATCGTCTGTGACAGAAAGCAAACTAGACCCGTGGAAGCGGGAGAAAAAAGCTGAGCTTGTGTGTTAAAGTGGCAACGAAGGAGGGGAAAGGGCAGAACGAGAGGGAGGCTTTCAGAGGGGCCGAAGGACTGCAGCGGAATCTGTTTTCGTTTTAGGAAAGTATTATGACTGATGTGCATTTCCTGACTGCAAGCCTCAGCCTATTTGAAAGAGAAACCGAGAGTGAAAGAGTGAGACAGAGCGAAGGGGGGTGGGGGGTGAATTAGAGAGGGAGAGCGTAATGAGAGAGGAGAAGAGAAAACAGACATCTGTGGACTGGGCAGGTTCCTTTAACAGTGACTCCCAGCCTGATTACGAAAGGCAAGGAGGAGACAGTTAAAGGGGGGAAAAAAAACACAGGAAGCCTCTGTATGAGTGTATGTGTGTGTGTGTTTATACTGAGTACATTGTGAACCATGCAGACTCAGGAGACAAACTTCAAACACCGATCATATTGTGCACACACATTCGCAAACACAAGAAGCTAAGAGAGGAAAAACACCCTCGTTGCCCACACAAACAAACGCAGCCGTATGTTGCACCCACCCCCTTTTCGAGCACCGAACGCTTCCCGAATCCCTGTGATGCGGGTTTGCGCAAACATGATGCAGAAACCTTCATTAAGGGACTTCTGGCGTCCTCCAGACAGAGGTGTAACGCTGGTAATTAAGTGTCCTCAAGTAGAGCTCTAATGTGATCAACTAAGAGGTGCTCATTAGCTGAACTGTATCCCAACAGAGAGTTCGCTTGTATAACGATGACGCCATGCTTTCCGGCGAAGGAAATAAAGTGCTCAAAGATGAGGCTGTGGGAGATAGCGGGCGGTGCTGTGATTTATGGCAGGTGAGCGGCCACGGCTTGTAGGAAGGAGCAGGTAATCAGGAGTGGTGCCTTTTTAATACATCCTGTTTGCATTTCCCCGTTATTAATGGCAGCGGCGAGCGCAAGGATGCTTAGAGATGAGAAAGAGGCGGCGGTCGGACACGCCGTTTGCTGAGCCAATGAATCATTTGGAGTTAATGCAGACCTGGGAAACATTAGAAACCTTGTTATGTTTTGTGCTGATGCAATATTGAAGAGCTGAAAGTACAGCAAAGCTATTTTTTAGAGCTTTACTCTGAGAAATATGAATAGGTTTGCAAAGTCCTTTTTAACTTAAAAATAAACAAGTCTTAAATTTAATACTGGTAGTGTGGCTTTTATTAAATTAGCCTCTGGCTTAAATAATAAATCAGCCCTAAACAAATATTGGAAGGTGCATATTAGAAAATAAACGTTATTTATGTGTATCCTAGAGTACTATATATACGGTAGGAGGCAAAGTATAAAAAAGAAAAAAATTGTGAACACTGACAGTGTTCAGCTGTAAATGTCTTGCTTCTTATGCTTCCCACATAGCTAACAGGTGTGGGCCATATCGAGTGTCAAGCTGGCACTGTTGGCTGACTGCTGGCATGACAAGTGGTTTGTCAACTGGATGTGGGGCCAGGTCTGGCAATGATGGCAGCAATTTAAGATGGCATGCCACAACTGGCCCAATTGTGATTTGGTTTATATCAGGGGTGCCCAAACATTTTCAAAATGAAAATCTATCCAGTGCTGTGGGCCAAATGCAGTAGTATAATACATGAAATACAAACACTTTTGTAAGTAAAGTCCTTTATTTTTAACGATTATGCTATGCAATGGCCCTCTTTAGTTTTAGTCTGTGCACTTGGAGAAAGTCTGCCATACGCTCAGGTAGCAAAGGCTCATGGGACATTTCATAAATTGATAAAATATGAGTTTTTGTGGCCTTGTAAAGTGTGCAAATCTACATGTTGGGTTAAATCT